AAACCTTTAACCACTTTTAGAAAATAGTTTATGGATAAAGGGACAAATCTTACAGTTCTTACTCAAAGGAAAAACTGAGACTGAACTTCCTTATTGAGAAGTAAATGGCAGTTTTGCTTGAATAAGATGGCAGGATTTAGCACTTAAATGTTTGAAGTCAGATATCCCAGGAGCCATGATCCTGAGATGACAATTAAAAGCAATGAATTTCATTAAGATATAACATTAACAATCTGGGGACATAATAGATTGCCAGCAATTACCGATTATGGTGATAGCTTCTTGTTTCCTAATTAGATCAAGTTGCTATTTCCCAATCTTAATTAAACTCTCCCTGGAAGCCCCAGCTATAAGCCAAATTCTGCACTCAGATTAGAATTTGAAGCTGATTTAAAGGAGAGTTCCAAGCGCATAATTTGGTTCTACGTTACTTATAAATAACTAAATACTAAAAAGCGTCTGATCAAAAGGATATTATAATAAATACAGGGGCCATTTTAAAGGCACAAATCACTATTAGGTACTAAACTCTCATTGACTTTCAATCCTGCCATCTTTCTCAGGCACTGTCATATACAAGTAGGCTGTGTCTAGACTGGCCAGTTTTTCTGGAAAATAAGCCGCTTTTTCGGAAAAACTTGCCAGCTGTCTACACTGGCCGCTTGAATTTCCGCAAAAGCACTGACTTCCTACTGTAAGAAATCAGTGCTTCTTGCGGAAATACTATTCTGCTCCTGTTCAGGCAAAAGTCCCTTTTGCGCAAAGGTTTTGCGCAAAAGGGCCAGTGTAGATAGCTCAGATTTGTTTTCCGCAAAAAAGCCCCGATCACGAAAATGGCGATTGGGGCTTTTTTTGCGGAAAAGCGCGTCTAGATTGGCACAGACGCTTTTCCGCAAAAAGTGCCAATCTAGATGCAGCTGTAGTGTGCTCCTAAGAATCACCTAATCTATTCCTGCTACAATTCCACAAAACATTTTGGCCAGTTTTGAGAATACTGCTGCCACCTAATTTAAACCTAATACCCGCCATATCTCTAAACATCCTGGCAGATCTGTACTTCAATATTTTCTTTTAACTGTTTTGAAGAAAAAAACCAATTCTAACATGAAATCTAAAAGTTAAGAATATCTGAAAACATACTGCTCTGCAGCTTGATAGAATATCTTATATTTCTCTGGTGGGCAGACCTGAAATAATGAAAATCCTGAACTGACCAAAAGGCAGGATGGATGGCAGCCGGGAACCCCAGACCCTTTTAAATTATCAGGCCTCAGGGCAGCTGCTCCCTTTGCTTCCCCCTTCCTCCTATCAGTGGCCCTGTCTGAAGGGCATACTGGGATCTATTGTACATTATTAAAATGTGGTGTTCAATTTTGTCGGTAAATAGTCTATGAAAAGCTTTCAGCTTCCAGCTAATTGTTATTTTTAGCTTAACTAGTAACCCATCACTATGATTCTTAGTAACACTGATTCTCATCAGTTTTAGCTCTGAACCCTAATTCACTAAATATATTTATTTTTATGGAAAGTTTTGTCTTGGTGAGAGATAGGTCAGGTTCAGCCACTGCATTGCCCTCCTAGAATATTTTTGGCATTCCCCTTAAAGCTTTTTATAGGAACATAGAAATTGGTTTACTGTGAACCCTGTGTTTTTCTGACATGGTATGGCTTCATAGTGGTCCTTTCCAACTTCTAGGAACTCACAGTTTCCATCTTCCCATAGGCTGATCACCTGCCTACATTCTTCTGTGGCAAGCTGCAGTACAACAGATAAACCTGTCTCCGTTTCCCCTTTCTTCCAGAGTCCACAGTAATTCTATGCAAGTTTTCAAGTACAACCAGCATTTTTGGGGGTAATTTATTTACAGAAGTCCCACAATCATAATTCAGAATTCCCCAGAACAGTCTAAATAGTACATGACCTCTCTGAAGTCCCAATAATTCATCAACATATTGATTATGTGTCCAGTGTCTCTCACCATTCTCTAGTACAGCTCCAGCACTGGTCACCCTATTTAGACTTTCCAGGTATGGCTCTGGCATCTTTTACTCTCTCACCTTTCAAATGTGATTTGGCATCTTTCATTCCTTTCCTTAGCCCCTCCAGCTGGGGCACTTTTCACCCTTTTTAAATTCTCAGGTGTGCTTCTAAGCTTTCTCCTGGAGACATCAGGTAGTTCACCTCACCATCATTTCCCAACCTTCTGCCCTCTCTGGCTATCCCTTTGGGTCATGGCTCTGTGGCCTGGGGAAGTTTGCTAGAGATCCCCTGACTGCCTTCCTGCCTTCTGCATCCACCAGCCTGATCTAGCTCCTAGCCTCAGCCAGAGAACTCTCACTACTACTTCTTTCAAGGGCATCCTTCCCTGAAGCATGCAGCCTTGTGCAGCTATTCTTCTGAATCCCCCTCTCTGGATTTATTCTCTCTCTGGATTCTGAATTTCCACATCTTTGGGTTCTCTGTCATTGTAACTCCCACCACACCATCCTCATTTCACCAAACTAGGACACACCTGGATTGGAACAGGAGAACTGGACTTAAGAGGACAAAGAAAAGGTGATATGAGCATTTTTTGTTCCTATTTCTCCTGTAATGGTGAATGGAATCCTGTAGGTGGCAGTGAATGGGGTGGTAAAAGGAGGTGAAGAGATTGTGCATTTCCACAACTGTGGGATTGGCAGAGCAAAGGTGCAGGTGTTACAGGGGGGTACTAAACTGCTGAAAGAGGGCAGAGTTACAATTATATAGGCAGGCAATGCTCTGTTTCTTGGTTTTCGGAAGTTGTTCAATTCAGCATTCTGCAAGGGGATGACATACCATAATGCGAAGGCAGTTTTGCTTCAACAGTTTGTTACTCATGAATTTCCTAGTCTTCTGGACAGGAAAGATATGTTGTTGTTGGGAGTTAATATTTACAATTACCAAAATGATTGTGTCCTCTTATTTGCATGCCAAGCCAGCCAGGCCCCCTTCTATCAGCTGTGCCTCAGATTTAAAAAAAATTGAACCAGGCTGGCTTCCGCTATGCATCTCAATGCACAGAGAGAAAAAATCCAGAATGGACACTGCTCAGCAGTGAAGCAAAAGAAGCATGGGATATCTTGGGAATATCTTGCTGATGATTTACTGCAATTATTACTATGCAGGTAAAATGTCAATGTCTAGACAATATTCAGCTTAGTAAATGTATGTAAAAGTACAAAGCAGACTAGTAATCGTAGCAGGGCTTTGAGATCTACAGTTAAAAATGCCATATGAGACCTAGGTATTATTAGTAGGAGTATAAGAAGTTTGGGAGAATAAAGGAAAGTAAATTTCCATTCTTTTTCAAATATATAAATTCTCAGGTCAAATTATGAATGAAAATTAATGATACAAACATTTGTTTTATTTTCCATTCTGTTTGGCTTCTTTCTGAAACAGAGGACTTCATATAGAGAAGCCAGGTGTGTATTTTGTTCATTAACCTGTGATGAGAGGCGTATAACAGAGTATGTCTACACTGTAATTAGGAGGTGTAACTGAAACTGAAGTAGACATAACTGAGCTAGCTTTGATTTAGCTAGGTCAAGTGATCACAGTAATGAAGCTGTAGCACCACAGGGCCCACAAGTGTACTCGTGCTCGAGTGGCTAGCATATGCTAAAGCCTATATTGCATGGCTCGACTGTATTATTACTATACGATTAACCATATGCCTAGGCCTAGCATTTAATCTTATTGACTACACAAATCCCCCCCCCCCCCTCATCCAGTAAATTTTTCAGCAGCCTGGCCAGCAGCCCACCTCAGTCCCAGCTTGCACCAAATCTGGGACCTACCCCTACAGGTTAAAAGCCAGTTCTCCCCAGCACTGGTTCTGTGGTGCTGCCTTCCCCCCACCCGCTGCTGCCTCTATCATAGGCAGTGGGGACAGACGAGGCTGCTGTGAAGCAACCTCTGTCCAGGGAGGTTCCAAGCTCACTGCAGACAGAGGCTGGTCCTCGGCAGCAGACCCTATCCACAGGGAGAGGGGGAGAGTGGCTCTGAGCTTCCTTCAGACAGGGACTGCTGCTGGGGACCAGCCTCTACCACGGCCAGTCTGGGTCACCGTGGACAGAGGCTGCTTCATGTCAGTCTCCCACACCCCTCCCCCCAGCAGCCTCTCTCTGCTGGAATCTCGGACTCCCGTGAAGAGGGACAGCTGCCAACCTGCACAGAGGCACCCTGTATAAGAGGCAGCAGTGCAGGGTGGAAGGGGACTCCCCGGGAGTGGGGCTGAAGGGCACTGGCTGCCTGTCCTGCCTCTGGGGACTATCGAATAGTTGTGTAACCAATAAGAATTCTTTTGGGTACACGACTATTCAATAACCTGATATCTAATATCCCTAACTCTTATAAGGTACATCTACGCTGCGGAGTTATTTTGGGTTACCAAAAGTATCCCAAAATAGCTACTGAAGCAGTCTGTTATTTTGAAAGAGATTTCAAAATCATGGGCGGCTTATTCCAACATCCTGGGTAACCCCATTCTATGAGGGTTAAGGGGAATTTTGGAACAGTGCATTATTTTGAAATTTGGCACTATGTAGACAGTGCCAAATTACAAAATAAGCTATTTCAAAATGCAATCGAAGTAAGTTACGCAATTTGCGTAGCACAAATTGTGTAGCTTATTTGGAGCTAAGAGTGCTGTGTAGATGCACCCATAGAATCAATCTAAGTAGTTAGCCACATGGCTTTTTGCCCGTTGTATGGCATCATTTTGCTCCACCATTTCAGTAACAATCTTCTGTTGCAAGCAGGAGAGGCTCCAAGAGAAGTGCTTTCCACTGTCTGTCCCCAGTGGAAAAAGTTTTTGTCCCTGCATCTAACGTGCATAGAGCAACATGCTACACAAATGAAAAATATTATGCAAGTGTTTCTCATGACACTGAGGTTTACACAGAGACAAAAATGAATATCAAGTATAAATAATAGCTAGAGAGAAAAAAAGTAGTGATATTAAAGACAAACATACCTTTTAATTCATCATTCTTTGGTGAATCAACTGAAACAATTTCATCTGATGTAAATGTAAGATCTTCCTGAAATGTTTCAACATGCTGCCCATTCAAAAAAATGTTGATCTGAAAAAACACCCATTTTTAAACTATTAAATTACAGAAAAAGTAATTCAGTATTATGCATGACAATTTTATTAAAATTTCTGCTTTATAATTCCCTGCTCCTAAAACCAATCTTCAAAACCAATCTCCTAAAACCAATCTGCAAAATCTGATGGACTTTATGGCTTATTTTAATCTAGGAATATAGAAGGTACCTTACCAGTACAAAGAAAGGCTCCATCTAGTTGATACCCTAGATATTGTACCATATGCTTCAACAGAAAGTGAAAGAAGTATCATAATGGACAATTACAATACTGATAAAGGACATATTCTTATTAGCCCCTTGAAGTTAATGGTTGGTTTAGTCCTTGAAGCCTGAAAATTTATAGCCTTGCCTCCATATTCTACAATATAGCTTTTTGCATATGAACAGAGTAATTTCTCTTTTAATTCTTTCTGGGGACAAGTTCCCTCTCCTTCCCTGAATCATTAGGCAGGTATGACTTTCTAGAGTCAGAAGAAAGAGTGCTGAGGTACTGGAAGAGAGAGATGCTGGATTTTCTTCATGTTGAGATTAAAGCAGAAGTGAAATATAAATACTCGTATTGGTTTACCTTGTGTGAACAGAACATGAAAAGGAGAAACTCCCAGGAAACTCGAGACAACTTTGTTTGGTGCTCTAATTTAAGTGTGATGTAAAAACTGATTGTCTCATGACTGGAACTCATTGTCTCATGAGTGGAAACCAACCACGGCAGACTGAAAAAAGTTTGCTAGGGTACACCAATTAACATTATCTATTTTTTTTTGTTTCACTATGTCATAGGAGAGCTCCTACCGTTGGTCTGAAAAGCACAAGAGTATTGCCTGGTAAGCAATACTGTAGTGGCTACATCTACACTGGCACCCTTTTCCGGAAATGCTTAAAACGGAACAGTTTTCCGTTATAAGTATTTCCGGAAAAGCGTCCGTGGCCAATGTAGACGCGCTTTTCCGCAAAAAAGCCCCGATCGTCATTTTCGCGATCGGGGCTTTTTTGCGGAAAAGACTACTGGGCTGTCTACACTGGCCCTTTTCCGGAACAGTTTTTCCGGAAAATGACTTTTGCCCGAACGGGAGCAGCATAGTTTTTCTGGAAAAACAATGACAATTTTACATTAGATTGTCATTGCTTTTCCGGAAAAGCAAGCAGCTAGTGTAGACAGCTGGCAAGTTATTCCGGAAAAGCGGCTAGTCAGTTTGTGGCAGCATATACAAATTTGTTAACTTTTAAAAGATCTCTATAGCATAACTCAAGAAATCATAAGTAGTAAAATACTGTGGAAAAACTATTCTTGTCTTAGATATTTTTGCTGGAATTTTGGTGAGTTCTTTTTAAAATTATATTGACAAATGCTTCCACTGTTCTTATTTTTAAATGAATGTAAAATTACAGAGTCAATCTAAGTAGTTAGCCACATGCTTTTTGTCTGTTGTTCTATACCAACATTTCACTCCATTATTTCAGTGACAGTCTCCTGTTGCACGCAGGAGATGCTCCAAGAAAAGTGCCTTCCACTTTCTGTCCCAGTGGGAAAAGTTTGTTTTTGTCCCTGCATCTAACATGTGCATAGTGCAATGTGCCACACAAATAAAAAGTGTTGTGCAGTGTGGGGCTGAGGGTCAATCTCTTAGGCTGTGTCTAGACTGGCAAGTTTTTCCGCAAAATCATCTGCTTTTGCGGAAAACCTTGCCAGCTGTCTACACTGGCCGCTTGAATTTCCGGAAAAGCACTGACAATCTCATGTAAGATCGTCAGTGCTTTTCTGGAAATACTATGCTGCTCCTGTTTGGGCAAAAGTCTTTTTCTGAAAGACTTTTGCGCAAAAGGGCCAGTGTAGACAGCACAGTACTGTTTTCCACAAAAAAGCCCCGATCGCAAAAATGGCAATCGGGGCTTTTTTGCGGAAAAGCGCATCTAAATTGGCCATGGACGCTTTTCCGCAAAAAGTGCTTTTGCAAAAAAGCATCCTGCCAATCTAGACATGCTTTTCCAAAAATGCTTTTAACGGAAAACTTTTCCGTTAAAAGCATTTTCGGAAAATCATGCCAGTGTAGACGTAGCCTTAGGGTATCTGTCTGCTCAGCTGGAACAACTGTATATGAGCAGAAAAATAAGCAAGAAAATAATCCTTCATTTTCACCAAAAAAGGAAACAAAAACTAATTTATTGAGCACAAAACAAGAGAATTTTTTGTAGCAACATTAAGAAATTAAAAAATCTCTTCACATAATACTTCCCTTTGTAGGGCAAATGCTGAAGATCCAAGCCATGGGCTGGCCGGGGGAACCTGGGCAGAAAATTAAGCCCTGAATACTGATTTGAATAAACATGGATTTGCCTGCAACGTAGTCCCACACATCTATCTAATAAAGTTGACACCTGATTAAAATCCATATCAAGTGTCTTCAGTCCTCTTTTTGGTGTCCCCAGACTATAATGGTAGGTCACATTTAGTCACTGGTTAAACCTATCAATGTATCAAATTGAGAATGTACAAGAGATGGGCTGAATGAATAAGGTTTTTTAAATGCTCTATTCTAAGGAAAATGAAGTAGAAAGTTGTTGCTTTTCCTTCGCTGCTATATAGGCATTTTACTAAGCCTGGAAAATATTTAACAATTTCAGGTTTAATCTGATCAATAAAAACAGTAATAAGATAAGGTCTATTGTACATCTAATTTGTCAATAACAAGCTATTTGTTAAAATATCTTCAGCTGTATTAACAGTAATGTAAAACTTAATTTCTAGCAGAAGCATATACTGTACTGGACTACTTGTTTATCAAATCAAGCCATAATTCATACAAAGTGAACAAATGGGAAAACAGCCTGCTCCTTTTTCTGCTATTGCAGATCAAAAATGGCTTACAATGTTTTAAATGACTATTCATTTCATATTGAAGAAATAACCCTCCCCCAACCCGAATTAGAATCTGGACCCTATTGTGCAAGATACTATATAAACTTATAGACATGGTCCTTGTCTCAAAATTCTTATCACCTTTCAGAATATTTGCACATAACAGTCTCCTCAGTTACCCCTGGATCAGGACAATGAACCTGACACTATGTTGTCATCTTTGTGTGTTACATTTGGCTTGTAAGTATTTAGAAAAAGACATTTCTCTTCTGTTAAAGAAAAATATTTTTATCGTGGCAAGAAATTGTTTACTTTCAGCCAGATCTTTAAAATATGAATTAAATTGTTTTGAAAACGTTTTTCACAATTTCTATTCTGCTTTTAACACCTTTCATACACTGCCTTTGCTCATCTCTTCTAGCTTTCCCATCTTCACACCATTCAGAAGACCATTATGGTGGAGCTTAAACTCTAGCCAAAAGACAATATTTGTTGGCCTTCCACTTGATATTGGATAGGTCAAGAAACTTTTGTATCAACTGCTATATCACTTAGAATACCTCACCATAGAAATATGAAATTTATAGCATGAAATTTAATATGAAATTTCAGTAACAGCTGAAAATTAAGGAGTAAGTCAAATAAATGATCAGGAGAAGGAAGGGAATATACACAGTTTGGCCTTCAATCTCCAAAGGGTAAAGGAATTAGTTCTTATTTGAAGAGCCAAGATACCAATATTTTCTTAGAAAAATAAATGCACCATATTCACAAAAAAGATCCATCTCCTGTTCTGGCTGGTCTTACAAACAAAGACCTACATTTACTACATACACGTGGAAGCATAGCCAAAGAGATATCAGATCAAGTATGTCTACACAGGAGCTAAAGGGATGATTTCCATCTTGTATAGACCTATTTGTGCTAACTCTGATTGAGTTACAGCACTCAAAACAGAAGTATAATAATGGTGACATAAAAGCGGAATGGGTTAGTTTCCCCAAGACTGAGCCTGTCTGAAGCTATGTATATATGAAATATGTAATTGGTCTCTTTCACTGCTTGTACTGCAGTGGCTACATTTCTACTTTTAGTGTGCTAGCAATTATACCTCCATCTCCAGTATAGACATACTCCATACTTGCTCTAATTCTTCAGATCATGCTGTCCAGTCACCTGAACATGAACTCCACAGGCTGAAGAAAACTTTTATTGTGAACTAGCAGGACCTATAGGATATAGTTTGACCTTTATTCAGTAACATTTCTATGGAACTCATTACTATAGCATCTGAGTGGAGTTTCTCACAAACATTCATTATTTAGTCTTATAACACTCATGTGAGGTTCCCATTTGTACAAATGAGAAATTCAAACATAAAGGGCCTGATTCTTCTTTCATTTACACAAGTTTTACACCAGTGTAGCTCTACTGTTTCCATCAGTCACTCCTGATTTGTACCAGTGTTCATAGAAGTACAATCAGACCCAACCAGATTAAGAGATTTGCCCAAAATTACAGAGGATTAGAATCCAGATCTCCGGATTCCCAGTTCATTGCCTTTACAAGATCACTAATTTAAGTTAATATAATTTAGTATTTATAAACTGTCTTGTTTGCAGTGCTGCTGTATCCGTATTGACCCCAGAATATGAGACAAGGTAAATGAGGTAATATTTTTTATTACTGTTTCTCCCATAAACTCTCTTTACATTCCAGTATACATGAAAAGATAGGAGTCCTAGAAGCTATTGGAGCAATCTAGTATTTCAATAATCACTAGAAAAGAAATATTTTAAAATTAATGATAGATGGCTGTAGCACTTTTTATGTCACAACAACTGCTTTTCATAAAAGTTACTAATAGATTTTGCAGCTTTACGGCCCAATTCTGTTTCTAGTGTAATCAATATTATCTTTCCATCAACTTAAATTAAAACAGGATCCCACCTTTTAAGAAGCAGATCTTACCTTGACATTTCTTTTGGGATAAAGGAAGAAAAATGGTTTCAGAACTGAAGACCTGGACATAACAAAGCAACAGATATAACTCATATAAATAGAAACAAATGCAAAATGTCAGGTTCGCCATTTAAAAATCCACAATATAGGAATTAAAAGCCATGATCAGAAGTGCTTTTCTGAGCTCTTTTGGTATACGCAGTGACTCCATATGATTGAAATCCTTATTTCTTATTAAGAAAGTGAAATAAAAAGGGAAGAAAAAGGAACAAGGAAGCTTAAAATGATATAATTGATATGCTTATAACACCAAGGATAGCCGATCAAATTCATTCATCTTCTGAATAGCTATCCAATACAGTATTGTATTTTGCAGATAGTTAGGCAAAACTGACACAAAACCATGGTCTACACTTGTTATTTTGAAATAAAAAGTAGAGCATCCACACTACCAAGCCTGTTATTTTAAAATAACAGGCTGGTTATTTCAAAATAACTCTTGCTTTCCACGAGAAATAATGCTTATTTCAAAATAGTTATTTCGAAATAGCAGTAGTGCAGATACTCCACTGTTGCTATTTTGAAATAACTGCTCCCCAGAGTCATTCAAAGTAATTACTCCCCAGTGCTTCCGAGGTTCTAAGTCGAGGTAGTGTATCCACTTTAAGAGAGCATGCCTCAGGCTAATTTTGAGGCTTATTGTAGTGCAGACATGCTATTTTGAAATAGTTATTTCGGGAGTTATTATATTGAAATAATTTATTTAGAAATAATTTCCCAGTGCAAACATGCCCAAAGATATGCTCAGAGTAAGTTTATGGTAGATAAAAATAGTGTCCAATCAGAGTACCCTAACCATCCCGAAGAGTAACTACTGTGACTGTTCACAGATATAACTGTTCTCATGAGTAAGAATAGATGTATGAGCTTGTACATTTAAAACAATGACTTCAATCATCAGAGTTTCAAATATGAAAAAATACTGACCCAAAACCATTTCATAGGCTCTGTCTAGACTACAGAGCTTTTCCAGGATACCAGAAGTATCCCGAAAAAGCTATGCCGTGTCCAAGGAATGCGTCTGCTTTTTCAGAACATTTTCCAAAAAAACAGATGTGTTCTATCACCATCCCTGAAATCCTCATTGCATGAGGAGAAGAATGTGTCGAAAGAGGATGTTTTTCTGAAATTTGGCCCCGTGTAGACATGCCAAATTTCAGAAAAGCCTCTTCCAGTAAAGAAGAGTGGGAAAAGATATGCAAATTGCGGTTCACAATTTGTGTATCTTTTTCCAATTTTCCTTTGCAGTCTAGACATAGCCATGGGGATGTTCACATTTATTCTAAAGCTAATCTGCTTAATAGCTTTCAACTTATGACTGGAAATGAGACTGTTTTATAAGAATATATGATCTAAGTACAGTTCTTAGCTGGTATAAAGAGCCAATTGCAACTGAAACAGTTAGCACAGTTTTCATTATGGCTCACCTAGTAGAGATGTTGCCACAAAGGCCCTGGATAAAGTCTCAGCAGAGGTAAATATAGCGTATCCAATCACCACATAGAAAAGTCTGCTAGTTTGACTGTTATCTTGTGACCAGCAGTAGATATAATGCAAGACACAACTAGACTTTTAAAAAAAAATACTTTATGCACACAGTAAAACAAGTAAAGGTCATCAACGAACTTACACTCTCGGACGTCCTCCCACAACTGCAGTAAGACCAGGTGCTAAAATGAAAATAAATCAAAAGAAGTTAATTTCTTAACACAGTCCCCTCCCAAACAACTGTAGCTCAGATATTACTACACCGTGGACACTTCCTATTACTTCCCCTAGATTCTAGGGAAGTATTTGTGTTACACAAGATACACGAAACAAAATGCTTTCATGATGTTGACGAAAGAAATTGAGTTTTCAAAAAACAACTGAAATGGTTTACAAACATTTATGAAAGTCCCTAGTCATATATATTAATTTATTTTCAAAGCCCAAACACACATATAAGTTGGATAGAAAAGGAACAAACCATTTATTAAAAAGAAATAATTCTGAACTGAACCGTGGTTTGTGTGATGCAAATAATTATCCTTTAATGACAACTAGGGGGCTGTGCTCCTTGCTTGCTATGCTTGCCAACCTCCCCCTCTCTGGGGGTAGGTGTCTGGCTGGGGGGGAGGGAGCAGGAGCAGGCTGGAGGTGCAGGGTCTTGGTGGAAGGAGTGAGGGGATGAGGGAGGGGATCAGGCTTGGATGGCAGAGGCAACCTGGTGCAGCCTGGAGGCAGTGGGGGGTTGGGTGTGGATGACAGAGAGAACCCATTGTGGCATGCGGGTGTAGGGGGTCAGGCTTGTATGGCAGAGACGCCATGGGGGAGCCTGGGTCAGGAGGTTGGGCTCGGATGTTGGAGGAGACCTTGTGCGGTTTGTGGGGGGGAGGGAGAAATGGAGGGGTCGGGCTCGGATGGCAGAGGGAACCTGGCGTGGCCCAGAGAGATGGGGGTTGGGCTCGGATGGCTATGGAGATCCTGCATGGCCTGGGGGTGGGGTGAGGGAGCTGTCAGGCTCAAATGGCAGAAGAGATGTGGGATGGCTGGGGGAGTGGAGGGTTGGGCTCAGATGGCAGAGGGGACCCATCTCCAGCAGCTCCTCCCCAGCAGCGCAGCCCCCCAGGGCGTGAAGCATGAGCCGGAGCTGGAGTAGTCCATGGCCGGAGGGGACAGCACTGAGGCTGACCTCAGCAAGTGGCTGGGGATAGAGGTGGGTAGCAGTGGCAGCATGAGGATGCAGATGACATGATGATGTCACTCTGTTGTCCCACAGGAATGTGTGTGTGTGTGTGTGTGTATCTATATATATATATATATAGATACACACACACATACAAACACACAGAAAGAGAGAGAGAGAGAACAGAATGGTGAATAACTTTTGCTATTTATTTTTGGGACGACTGACATCATGCATACATAACATTGGTATATTATAATCATATGGGAAACATTTTACTGGTCAGTTTTACCTAGAAATCAGTCAGAAAAGCATTAGTAAGATGAATTAAGGTATGTCTGCACTGCAGCTGGGAGCAAGCTTCCCAACCTGGGCTCCTGATAGCAGGCTAAAAGTAGTAGATGCAGAAATTAAGTGCAAGGAGTAGGATGGGTCCAAGCTCAGGTGGCTAGCCTCAGCCTCCATCTATGCCCAGTCTCCAAACAATTCCTTTTAATGGGCTAGTGCAAATCCTACTGGCACAAATATGCTTAACTGGGCTGAGAGGCTTGCTTCCAGCTGCAGTGCAGACATACCTTTAAAACAGGGATGGGGAACCTTTTTTGGGGCAGAGGCTGCTGACCCACAGAAAAATTAGTCAGGGCTGCACACAAGTGAGAAGTGGCCCCCAACTGAGAAGGAGAAAGATGCTCCCCACTTTCCCCTCCCACACCAAAGTCTCTGAAGGCCCAGCCTAACAGATTTCGTATGTGCTTCAGCCCTGCAGTGGGGCAGTGGGAGGGCTGGAGTGCCAGTGCAGGCTTCTCAATGCTGGGTGGGGGAGGGAGCCTGAGCCTTGGGATTCATAGATTACTATGCCAGAAGGGCTATGCAACCATCTAACCTGACATCCTAGTCAACACTGGCTATCAGACATCCATGAATTAATATTTGAGTTACAGTATAACTTTCAGAAAAAACATCCAATCTCCAAAATTGCCAGTAATTGAGAATCTACGATAAATCTTTGAAATTTGTTCTAATAGTTAATTGTATTTATTGTTAAAAATTGTGCCTTATTTCTTGTCTGAATGTCTCTAGTTTCAACTTCCAGCCATTGGATTTTGTTATATTTTTTTTGTCTGCTAGCTTAAACAACCTATTATCCATTTTGTTCCCCATGCAGGTACTTAGAGACTGATCCAATCACTCCTTATCCTTCTCTTGGTTAAACTAAACAGATTGAGCTCCTGGAGTTTATCACTATAAAGCAAGTTTTCCTATCTGCTAGCTATTCCTGTGGCTTTTCTCTGAACTCTCCCCATTTATAGCCACCCTTGAACTGTGGATACCAGAACTGAACACAGCATTCCAGGAGCAGCCGGACCAGTGCCAAATACAATATTACCACTTTAGTTTTACTCAGGATCTTCCAGTTTATATATGCACAAGGATCACACTAACCCTTTCAGCCACAGCATAGCACCAGGAGTTCAATTTCAGAAGACTATCCAAAAGGACTCCCAAGTCTTTCATGGTCACTGTTCACTAGGGAAAGTCTGCTATCCTGTAAGTATGGCCTAAGTTCTTTTTCCCTAGAGGGATAACTTTACATTTGGCCACTGTAAAATGCATATTGTTTGCTTTAACCCAGCTTGCCAAACAATCTGGATCACTTTCTATCATGTGCCTGTACTCTTCATTATGAGTGACTCCCTCCAAACTGAGTCATCTGCAGTCTTCATCAGTGATGATCTTAGGGATTGTTGTTTTTTTCCAGGTCATTGATACAAATTTTAAATAGCACAGAGCCAAGAACCAATTCCTGAAGGAACCCAACAGAAACACTACTGATGATTCCCTGTTACAATTGCATTTTGATTAGCAGCCTCTTAAACTGCCTCTTTAGCACATAATGATAAAAGTATATCTTCTATTTAGACTGGCGTGAGCAATAGTTTTTGATGGGAGGGCCACTCTAAGAATCGGGTAAATGGTGAAGGACTACACTTGTCTATGATATTAACATCCAGATTTTTTAAAAAAATATTTTAATCTTGGGATCTCCAAAGCCACTATTTACATCAACACTAACAATGAGTATTTACCTGGAATAATGTAACTATAATTTTGTTTATATATAAATTAATATTTAAATAAAAGTCTGATTTATAATTATTAGGAAGAGAAGCCAAGTCCTGAACAGATAATGGTTTATAACTAATAATTTATTATTTAAATTGCAGCAGCATTCAAAGCCTGCAATCAGGAATAAGATCTTATTGTGACAACATTTAAACATCCTTCCAAAAATATTTTTAAAAAGACAAAAAATGGAAAAACAATATCACTACAGCTGGTCAGAGCTTCCTAGTTTCTCAACAGCCCAAGGTCCCAGGCCTCCCGGCTGGCCACTAGCAAACTGGCTAACCTAATTATTTTTGTTAACCTGACCCTGTGTCAAAATACAGATTGGTGATAACTGCAATAGTTTTTTCTCTTCCATATTTTCACATACACAACAACAAATCATCAATCATGCTCATGGATGCCTGATGAAATGCTTCCCAGATGCAGTCTCCTGGTCATTCATCTCTCAATCTGAATATTACATGCTAGTCAAAATGTCACATATGACTCAAGTGTAAGTGATGTAGCAACGTCTGCCTATTTGCCCAGCATCTCAAATAGCTCTGAAGTATGAATTGGCTCATTTATTTTAATGGGTGCTCGTTCAGATACCACTGATGTTTTAAATATCAAAATTTTTAACTATTTCACCCTAATAAAAACATTCAAGACTGGAGTAAAAGTGTGATATTACAAAAAATTCACACCATCTCCTTGACTGACTGCTTGTTTGGGGATATACTTTTACAACACACAATAGGGTTCAAAGGACAAGATTAGTTTCATTTTTCCCAAAGGGATGCTCAGCTTTCAAAATTTGTGAAACAACGGGGAAGAGATTTTGAAGGGGGGAAGAAGAAAGCTGCAAGAAGTTGATCTATTGATAACTGAAGAACTGTTTGCTTAGTGAGTATTTAATTGGAAAGTACAATGTCAGCTAATCCCATGCATTCCTGTCATTTCTGTTTTGTCAATTACTATCTCCCTTCAGTTCCAACTGAAGGACTCTGCAGTCTTCCTTTTAGGCAAAAAGAAAATCAAATGTTCTTCCTCTCATTAACCCATTTTATAATTCCAATTTCTTATTTGCCAAATGATAAAGAAACCCAATAGCCTTTTTAGTGTTTTTCCACTATATTAGTATATGCACTAATGTTCATACCTGACTTTATCTTTTTCCTGCATTACCCAATATACTTTTCCATGTCCACATTTTTGCCTCTCTTAATAACTGCAATTTTCTATTTGCAGGTTTCCCTAATTTTCTTTGAACCAAACTCCAGTACATCTAGAAAATAATTACCAACATTTTCTTGAAAACCCACTGAGATTATTTCTCTTTGGCTAAATGTTTCAGACAAGTTAGGCCCTGTACCAGTCTCAGTCCAGAGGGAGGCCAAGCTGCCTCACTACACGGCATTCAGACCAGTTGGTAGGCCGGTAGAGCCCTGCTTCAGGGATGGCCTGCCACAGTCAAGGGGGCTCCAGCCTATAGCCCAGCTAAATAGTAGTCCGAGTGCCCTGGTCCTAGCTCAGGATGAGGCAGTCAAAAGTCCTGGGGCTCAGGCCACTATTGTGGCCGAGCAGTCATTCACAAGCCCAGCCCTTGTTCAGATAGGGATCACAAACAGTTTAAGGGGTCAGTCTTTCTGCGGGCTGAGCAGTGGTCAGGTCTCCTTGATTTAGTAGAGAGCCAACAAGCGCAGGTGTTTAGCCCAGAACAGGGGGAACGTGCTCCCTGCAGGCCTACCTAGCTTAGTCTCTGCTCCTTAGGGTCTGCCGTGGACGATGGCACTGGGAGAGTGTCCATTGGCTCAGGGTCGAGGCCAAGCAGCGATCTGAGTGGCCCAGACCAGCCTTCTGGGCCCAGCAGCGGTCCTGGCCAGCTCTGCT